TTTGGCATCGCTCGCACTTATGTCTATCCAATCAGACATTTTGCGTAGTTTGGAATTCGACAGCATAATACAAGATTTCGTTGAATCCAAAAATCGCAAAAAAGTAATATATTAGATCATAAGATTCTGCAAAATAATTTATTACCGAAAAATATTATATTTTTATTTGTATCTTCATAATTTTGTGCAAAATACACTTGTTGTTTTTAAAGCTAAATTATTTTTGTCAACAAATTTTTTTCTCCCAAGTTTTTCGTAGGCCCCTGAATTTCGTAGGCCCTAGGCACGTGCCTAGTGTGCCTATAGGTTAATCCGGCCCTGGATGAACCATAAATTGCTTAAATTAATTCTTTTTATCCACTGTAGAAAGAATCAAATTTTTTGTTGTTGCTGATATGTACAGAATGAAATTGCGTACAATAATCAATCATTAAATAAATGAATAAGTTTGATTACATTCAACCATATTACAATCATGCATAAACTTGGTATTAGGTTAATATTTGCTTTTCCTCCTTACAGTATTAGCAGTTAAAAAAAAATTCTGGTAACACTTCAATGTACTGGAATTCATAAGCCAGGAAAATGACAGCCGGGATAATGACAAATTCGCCATTTTATAGCATATAACTTTACTTTAATTTAATATTTTGGCCTAAAACGTTTACATTCTGCAGAAAACAGCAGGATTTCTTAAAATAAATCAGATAAATCTATGTAGTTTATGAAAATAAAAGTACTAAATAAAGCACTAAATAAAAGTAGCCAGGAAAATGACAAATTTTCTTGGGACAAACAAATTATTGACAGAAAAAAATTATTTTAAACGAAGTTTTTGTAAATAATACCTTCTGCGTATATTCTAGAAATGCTTACACCGGTTGAGATTAAAAAAAATTAGGTATTGCTATTGAAAAATTTATGGTAAGTTTTGAAGCTAGTTATTATTGGAAACATTGTTTGGGACATGCAAGGAAAATGACATTTTGAAGTTCAATTAAATTTTTTAACTATAAAAAACAGTTAATGCTAGTGCAAAGTCATTTTAAAATGCTAAAAGCAATGCAATTTATTTATTTTTTTTTAAAGTTCCTTTAGCATTATAGTATTAGATCTTGGAGCAAGGGACAGTGAATTGTCATATTTCGTGAGAATCACCCACATATATACAGTACATATATGCAATACAAAAACACTTTTACAATGGAATTTAGTTAACGTGTGCAAGCTTAAAAAACGAATTTCTAGTTGTTACAGAAAATGTTAGCGCTATCAGTTAAAATGCAATCAGGTTCAGTCACATGCAGTGTCGGATTACCCATTAGGCTAGACTGGGCCGTGGCCTGCGGCCCCCAATGATTAGGGGCCCCCTTAAAATGGATTTCTTGAAAATAAATTTTAAAAAACTAAGAAAAACAATGATTTTTTTTTTTTTAAAAAATCAATTTCAGATATATATTTAAAATTTTTCAAAATGTTATGATTATTTTTTAGTTCTAATTTAACAAAATAAAGTAAAATTTAATTTATTATTATTTATTTTAATTTTAAATATGCTTTCTTAAATGAAAAGATATATAAATACTTTTATAATTGGATAAATTGAAAATATACGAGAAAAACAACTTAATCGAAGGGCCCCAAAAATTTGAATGGCCTAGGGCCCCGCGTGCGCTTAATCCGACCCTGGTCACATGTACAGCGTTGCCACCAAAATACAAAAGATAATAAACAAGATATTTCGCACAGGGAATAAATTGTTAATTGACCAAAAGAAGATATATTTTTTTTTTTAATGGTAACGATAAGAAAGAGCTTCCATTACAGAGCGAAGAAATTCAACCCTTGCTATCTTGCAAGACAAGCAAATAAAATAAATGAAATGAATGAATTAAAAAGTAGTTTTAGTCGGAATAATCCTAACAATCTGGCAAGAGGTAGAATAGAAATGATGGTGAATATTTCTTCTGACAATTGACCTTGTATTCAACATAGTTTTATCTTCCTTCTTTAGAACGCATAGCATCACCTTTAGAAGATCACGTATTTAATGCTTCTTCACGTTTTGTTCATTCATTCTAAATGTGCATTTTTTTTCTTTTTCACTTTCCTTTTTTAATTTTCCAATACCGTTCTACCATATCGGTAAATTCTATTCTCTTCACTTCACCTTTTATGAAACTGCATCGTTCCACTAGAGTGAATTAGCAGAATGCAAACGATTTCTCTTTCTTTTAATATGCCGTTTTTATTTATTTATTTTTTTCTTCCTTCTCTTGGTATTTGACGGTCGAATTTCATTTACTCTGATTATCTTTTGAATTTTTACTGCACTCAGAGTAGGCAGTTGGTGTTTTTATCCGAATTATTATTATTATTATTATATTACTCATTCAGTGATGTAGATTCGCAACAGGATTACTAAAAATGTATGAATTCTTCCTGACTTCCCGCAGACGAGAACCGGTCTACTACAAGTTTTTTTTTCTTCTTTTTTTTTTCTTTCTTTTATTTCGAAAGAGCTTTTAAAAAGCTAAACGACTAACAAACTAAAATTTATGTTCTTAGGTAAATAGTATTTCCTCATCCGTAAATTATATTTTAACAGCATTAAACAAGCTACATATTCGGCGGAATATTTCATTATTTTAAGGCTGTTTTCCTTTGATGACAAAGTGTAATCATTCTAAACACTCACAATTTCTAGCATACTTTAAGTTGTTCAAAATTAGAAATTAGCTTTATATTAAGTAATTACAAATAAAATGTTTAATTACACTGATTTAAAAAAAAAGAACTCTAACACCATTTCAGCTGATTCTTACTTAAAATGATTTCCTGAATCCGAATATGAACCTTTACCCCCAACGCCATCTATGTTTCATTTTGCTTTATAGCGATGTTGAAGAGCCGATCCATTTTTTACTTCACGACTATCCTATATTCAACTCTGTAACCTGTAATTCTGAACCCTACCCAGAAGATAAGGGAACTCCTCTGTGAATTGGGACACACTTGCCTTTTACGGAGCACTTTTCGTTGTTATTGAGTTCAACGGCGGAAATTTGTGAAGTGTACTAACATAAATTACGAAGAAAAGTGAGAGACGCGTAGTTTACCACGATCGAAAATATATCTCAAAACTGTTTCATAAAAATTTTATAAATTAAAATTCATTTTTTGTATGTGCCATTTTTGCATGATATCAAATATGAATTTAACCTTATTAAATCTTATTCTTCACTATAACGTAGCAGATGGATCACTCGGGATTTCAAAATGTAAAAGAATTAAAATTTTCGAGCAGTCGTTTTTTATTTTTTGGTAAAAAGAAATAACAAATTACGCATCAACATTTTCATCTCTCACAGGAGAAAAAATTTTATTCTTCACTGACCAAGAGAAGAAATTCATCAGATACAATGCTCCCTCCCTTTGCATTCCTTTACGAACGTCCTTGGTTCATAAAATAGCGGGGGAGTCACTCCTCCCCACGAATACCCCCCCCCGTTGACCTAACAGCACTTTTTGCCCCCGCACGAGCCATGCAGAGGACGAAAGATTATAATCGTTATCTACAAAGATTCAAGGGTTCCCCCATCCACCCCCTCACGCAATATATATAGTAGAAAACTTGAATCCTATATATAATATCTATTATACCGAGTTTATCGTATGGCCTCTAATCACAGAACAGGCAGCTTAATACCCCTTTCCAAACATTAGAAGAATACTAATGTTCCTATGAATTCTACTATAATATCAGGGATATAAAAGCAACAATATATATATATATATATATATATAATACAAAAATTATAAATACTTTTGTACTAATAAAAGCATTAAAACTCTTCCGTTTTCATAAAATGTCTTTGGTAAAGAAGAATAGGTGTAGAAATTCTATTTTGGGACTTAAAGGCTGAAAACATACCATTGAATTATAATTAGATTTATATTTCAAGGGAGGAGTTATTTTTAGAATCTTGTCCCTCTTTCACTTCCATATTAGGAAGCATTAAATGATTTTCCATGATGCGTAGAGTTACAAGGTATGTACGACTGGAACCTGTTTACAACAAAATCTGTAAGTATTTAATGCGAGACCAATGGTTTTCGCATGCCTCACCTTTAAATAAACCTTTTTAGAACTTATTATGGCTTATGACCGCATTATTAAAGCTGAATACAACAATGATAACAGGGATGTAGCCCTATTATATATATATATATATATATTTTTCCCCCAATGAAATTCATAGCAATCCACATTTTTTAAGAATCACGAGATAAAAGATCACCGGGGAAGAAAAAAAGAGAGTATTTTATTGTCTATTACAGTGAAACCCCGATTTTACGTTTCTCAGGGGACTGGGTAAAAAAAACGTAAAATCCGGGAAAACGTAAAATACGGGAAATACTTAGATAGCAAAAAATCATATAATAATAATGGGAAAATAAAACAAACGAAAGGTAGTAAAGATGACTCTTTCAAAAGGTACTATTAAAATCTATATTTTACGAAAAGAATATTAGTATTTAAAGAAAAAAACATACCAGTTCAAGATCATTTTTACAATTTTTGTTAAGAATCATGCAATTTAGGTGCAAAATAGTGCGTAATAGTAGATTGTTTTTTAGACATTGAGTTCAAAGTAAATGCCTCATCTTCCAGGACTGAAATCTTTTGCAAATTTTTTTCCTGGTCTTCGTATGATAGAAAATAGTCTTTCACTATTAGCAAACTTCTCAATGCTGTGTTGAAAGAAGGAACGGGCTGTGCTTCTGTTCCTTCTTGTTCATCTTCATCGGCGGATGAAAAGTCCATAACATCGTCCACGGATGGAGCAGTGGTTCTCTCAGCTTCGCATGTTGCTAAGTTTTCACGGATGTACTCGTCGAAGTCATAGCTAACTGTTTCATTGTCATTCTCCGGGTCTAGTCTAGCTAATCCTGCATCTGCTAACGGTTCATTAGAAGCTACGATTCCGCTTTCTTCAAAACAGTGGGAAATGCGCTTTTGTGTAACGCTTCTCCAAGCAGCAGAAATAAAATGCATAGCCTCCAGAACACTTAACTTTAGTTTGCAGGCGTCATTTAGGTTTCCGTTCTCTAGTTCAGCTACAGCTTTCCGGACAAGTTGCTTTCTGTAAAAAACCTTAAATATTGCTTATTAAAAGTTTTTTTTATTTTTTATTTCTACCAAAAACGTAAAATGCGGGAAATTCCGTAAATTAAAAACTTACAATCCGGGTAAAATTAACATTGGAGGTATACGGAAAAACTGGGTCCTGATGAAAAAAACGTAAAATGCGGGAAAAACGTAAATTCGGGGGACGTAAAATCGAGGTTTCACTGTATTTAAATTTAACGTTCGGTTTCATTCGGAAAGGAGCAACGTTGGCCCACCTAATAGGGTGTCCCTGAAATAGTGGCCAGCAAATCTGCCCTTCCTATGTCCTACGCCTGTATGACCTAGGTCATTATCCAGGAGGGTATTGGGAAAAAAAATTTAAAAAAATATTTATTAGAAACTATTTCGCAAAATTTTTGAAAATGTTTTCAAATTTTATTGATTTTATGTTTATAAATTAAGAACGATGAACGATGTAGAAAAAATACTATTTTTTATTACTGCACAGATCCCTATTATGAATTTTTTTTTTTGGAAAGTGATTACAAATATATTTTGAGTGCTTAAAAAGTACTTAAAAGGTGCTTATTTTTTGTTGAAAAATCTGGCTACACACCCTGTTGCTTTTTTCGGTTTCTTAATCGTCAGTTCATTAAATTCAATTTTCAAAAAGCCGTGTTAAAGTTTTCGTACAGTCATGTTTTCCTGATTTGTTTTTCCTCCGAGGAACGCAAATATGCGTTCATTTCATAAATAAACTTTTTCATGAAAGCAAATATGACCCTTGTATGTAGCTTGATGTAAAAAGTTACCTTATCTTTTGGGGGCTAAAAATTGCTGAGATGGAATCCATAACACATCAAGGACAGATATATTAATCAACATAGCTGATACTGTCATTAAAAAGCTTAAGAAATTTTACTGCACGTGAATTATGTTTATGGTCAACGAATGATTAAAATTAAACAGACAAAACAAATTTCGTTTACCATCATTTTTAAGCTATTTTTACAATATCCTACCAAGCTACATTAATACATGCTATTAATTAATTATCAAGTATCTGCAGGTCTTATCCACTATCTGCAAATGTCTCTGCTTCATTGCAAAGCTTTACGTTATTAGTCATCCACAGCGAACAGTCAACCCATATTTCTGTTAGATTGTTTTTTTTTTTAATTTATTTCTTAAGAAAATATAAAAATAACAACATGCTTTTATTTATATAGAATGCTCAATAAATTACCTTAGAGCTATACAGGGAATCCGTAAGTGTTTTTATTTTATTTTATTACCGTCGTTGAACAGCCGATCCAATTTCGGGTTTACGACTACTAATGTTCAACTCCGTATTTTTGTAGTTTTGAGCCCAAACCAGAAGATAAGGAAATTCCTCGATCAGTATCCCCAGAGGTATGATTTGTTACGAGAACATGGACGACTTTGTGACTCGACAGATTTAGCGTGCATCAGTCACCATTTACTACAAGGGTTATCTTCGGCCGGTGGGGATCGAACCCACGACCATTTGGACATGGACCCATCAGTGTCCCACCAACCCGGCTATCCCGTCCCTCCCGTAAGTGATTTATTTTATTTTATTTTATTTTATAACAGTCGCTGAACTGGCGATCCAATTTTTGGGTTTGCGACTGCCAATGTTCAAATTCGTAGCCTTGTCATTTTGAACCCAATCCAGAAGACAAGGGAACTCCTGGGTCAAGTACTCGGAGAAATTTGCTTTCGTGGAGGACTTTTTGATGGAACTAACCGGCATTTGCGTTACACGGGGAAGAAGACCACGAGAACATCCCACTTATTAGCCTGACGACAAAGGGACTCTAACCCATGATCCGTCTACCACTGAGGATATTTCATGTCAGCACTGTAGTCGGTGCAAGCCAATTGCGGATTCGTATGGACCAGCCTTCGCAGGGATTCGAACCCGGTTCCCTCATTGGAAGGCGAACGCTCTATACTTTGAGCCATCACCGTAAGTGTTGCAGCAAACTTCTGGGGGAGAAAGAGCACATTATAAGGATTAGGAATAGCATAAGAACCCATGCCCGGAAGGACAGGTACGCCACTAAATGGTTTTGAGCAGGAGAGGAATATGAAGATTGCCTTACTCGATCGGTAGGCAGCATACGAAGAACATGGAACGCTATACGAATGGAGAGCTTGCAGTCTTACACGTAGTACATGTTATAACTGAAGGTAATGGACGAGCCGTTGCACACATTTATCGAGGACGCTTCAACGACAGGAAGCAACCACACTACAGTTTGTTTGCACGTCTGCGTCAAAATTTGTGTGAGTACGGGTCATTAAGAATTGACGGGACAAGTGAGAGCAAGCCACGATCGACTCGTTCTTGAAGAAAGTGTGTTGCATGCAGTGGAGAGTAATCCGAGGACCAACATACGTGCCTCTCAGTTAAGAATGTCTCGTACTAGTGTCCAGCTTGCTTTGAAAGATAAGTCTTTCCACGCCTTTCATCTCCAAAGGGTTCAGTTACTGCCCTGCAATGACCACCTTGCTTGCCCGATGACCATCTGATGCTCTCCGATGACCACTTAGAACGTGTGCGTTCCTCAAAGTGGTTTCTGCAAAAAGTGCACGTGATGTGAATTTCCCAGCTTATGTGCTGCTCACTGATGAGGTCACATTCAACAAGGAAGGCGAATTCAATTACCACAATCAGCATTTGAGGGCTCAACAAAACAAAACAAAAAAACCACAGTGTGCAACACAACAACGCTACAGAGTTAATGTGAGGTTGGGTTTGGTCGGCGACTTCTTAGTCGGGACGTACCTTTAACCATCCAGGTTGAATGTTGCGAATTATCTGGTCATTCTGGAGTAGGTTCTTTCCGACGAAGTTCCACAAAATGTGAGACTCAAAATGTGGTTCCAACATAATGGGGAACTTGCTCATTTTCGATCGGATGTCCGTAGCCATTTGAACAGATCAAATGGCTACGGCATTAATGGATTGGGCATGGTGGACCTTGACCCCAAAGTTCACCGGATCTATAAAACCTCTATATCTCTCTGTGGGTAGCCATCAAAAGTGTCGTGTATCGCGATCCTGTTGAGTCTGAAATGAACTACTTTTTTTTAAAAAAATTAAATCTATTCAGATTTAGATACAAAGAGGGAATTAAGTAAAGAACATAGTAGTAAAAGGAAGGATAGTTCCCATTCGTTTTAAGGTGGAATGTTCTGGAACTTGGAATTTACTAAAAGCGTAATTAATTTCCATCCGCTAACTTGGAATTTTTAATAAGTCATTATTGAGATCATTTAAAACGAAGTTTCAACTCAAACAATCATTTATGTGTTGTTGCTCTTGTCGTAAGCTATTAAAGCAAAGGAGGTGTGATTCTTCTGTTTTCCAGAGCAATATCTATGACCAAGAATTTGACTTCTATCACACCCATGCGTCACAACCCGTTTATAAGGAGAACCCATTCATACATCCACAGATCATACTTTTGAACTGGACCAGAGAATTATTAGTCTCCAATTCAGTACCCCCAGAGGTATGATTTGTTAAGGGAGCATGGATGACTTTGTGACCCGACAGATTTAACGTGCATCAGTCACCATTTACTGCACGGGGAGTCTTCAGCCGACTGGAATTGAACCCACGAACGCTTGTACATGGGCCCAGCGCCCTACCAACCAGGCTATCCCGGCCTCCAACCCCAGTCTTTGTTGCTGTTGTCTTATGCCAATTGTCAATACTAACATGCCTATTTTAAGGAAAGAAGGATGCGCTTCTTCTTGTTTTCGAGTGGCGCCATCTGTGGTAAAGAATTTGACTTCTGTCACACACATTCGTCACAGCCCGTTATGCTGGGAGGACAGATTCGCTCACCATCCCTCTGCAGATCGCAATTTAACCTGAACCAAGGCAGGATAAATCTCTGATTCATTATTCTCAGAGGTATAATTTGCTATGGTAACTTAGAGGACTGTGTGACCCAACAAATTCAACGTTCACCAGTCACCATTTTGTACACGGGGAGTCTTCGGCCGGCGGGGATCAAACTTATGACCTCAAGAACATGATCCCAAAGCTTTACCAAGCTATCCTCAGTCATTTATGTACTATGGGGTGAAGAACATGTCGATAGTATTCACTATTTTAAACCGATATTCTCTTTAAGATGTTTAACATGAAATTCTTTGTGAGTTGTTATTTCAATAATTTAAAGAAAGGTTTCAAATCAAACAAATATTTAATTGCAGCAAGTTTCAGTGAGTAATTACAGCAAGTAAGTTCAATGTATTAATTACAGTAAGGAAATTAAATAAAGAACATATCAAAAAACGTCCAAGACGATAATTCCTATTCTAAAATCTTTAATTTGGAATACCTTGTAAGTTTCTCTTTTAATGGTTGAAATTTTGAAGCTAAGTTTCAAATCAAGCAATCATGCTGGTACAGAGAGGTGTTTTTTTCTCTCCAAGGAACGTATGTTAAGTTTGGAATATTTCACTACGATATCTCAGTAAAATTTTTTAAAAGAAATGGCGCTACTTGACTCATGAGATCCTTTAATTCGCCTCAGAGTTAAATTTTGAAGCTAAGTTTCAAATCAAGCTATCATGCTGGTACAGCGTGTTTCTTTTTTCGAAGAACGTATGTAAAGTTTGGAATATTTCGCTAAGATATCACAGTAAAATTTTAAAACAAATGGCGCTACTTGATCCATGAGATTCTTCAATTCGCATCAGGATTAAATTTTGAAGCTAAGTTTCAAATCAAGCAATCATGCTGGCACAGCGTTTTTTCTTTTCTTTTTTTCTTCTAAGGAACGTATATAAAGTTTGGAAAATTTAGCTAAGATATCTCAGTGAAATTTTTTTAAAAAAATGACGCTACTTGACTCATGAGATCCTTCAGTTCACCTCAGAGTTAAATTTTGAAGCTAAGCTGCAAATCATGCTGGTAGAGCGTGTGTGTTTTTCAAGAAACGTGTGTAAAATATGGAATATTTTTAGCTAAGATATCTCAGTGAAATTTTTAAAAAAATGGCGCTACTTGCCTCATGAGATCCTTCAATTCTCCTCAGAGTTAAACTTTGAAGCTAAGCTGCAAATCATGCTGGTACAGCGTGTGTGTTTTTCAAGAAACGTGTGTAAAATTTGGAATATTTCGCTAAGATATCTGAGTGAAATTTTAAAAAAAATGGCGCTACTTGACTCATGAGATCCTTCAATTCA